CACTATCTAGGATTAGTAAAATGAAAAATATAGAAATTGAAGGATTAAAGGCTAGGCTACACCAAAGTAAAGAACAAGACATGATCACCAGCACAAGTGAGTTTCATGTACATATGTGTAAAACATGTATCTGGTATTCTTGAACTATAGCTCACATTATCATTATGGAAAGAGGACATGTACATGTACATGTAGTAATAATGTGCATGAGCACAGACACTCAAAGCAGATATAATAATAATGTTAAGTCTTTTGTTTGTGATAGAATGGAGTGAATCTGAAGTGCGGCTTACTTCTCCATCAGCAGAGGAGTGTACCAATGTCCTATCAAAAATAGACGACAATCATGAATGCATTTATCTTGATTATTCATCTTCTGATATTGCTCAGTTACTAATAGTGCCTCTTCTGCAGAAGAAAAGCATTAGAAGCTTATATATTTTCTCAACTCCATTAACACATGACTTCATTGACCTTTTTGCATCTCAAATGTTGGATAACAATACATTGGAGAGTCTGCATCTCAATCACAATTCCATTGATGATGATGGGGTCATTACTCTAGTGCAATCTCTTAAGTATAACAAGAAGCTTCAGTGCTTATCTCTGGACTTTAATACTGGAATTACTTCACTCAGTGTTCCATCACTTGCTGAATTTATACGCATCAACTCCACATTGTCTGTTCTTTATGTTGCTAGCACTAGCATTGATGCTAAGGGAGTGCTGGATCTGGTTGACTCTCTCAATTTTAATAGAACCACTTGGAAAGATTGTGGTAGATGAGAAACACAAAGCAATATGCTCTCAATTTACTGGTAAAAACAACAGACTAGATTTTTCCTATGCATCTGCTACTCATCATGAAAGTACTGGCACTACTCTACATAAAATGAGTGGGGCAAAAGATACAGAAACTGAAATTTTAAAAAGGGAGATCAGAGAGCAAGATGCACAAGTGAGCACAGAGCAAATTATTGATCCATTGTCTTCTATGAAAAAAGCTGAACTATTATTAAGTGCAGATGTTTTACAGAGCATAACAGGTAATTGCTGTTCTTATATGTTTATACATAGCTTAACATATACCTGTATATAGGCATATATGGTAATCTAACAGTGCTACCAGTAGACAGTAATGGTTTATTCTATCATTGTGACAAGTATGGTACAACCCTCATTATTCCTGAAGGAGCAGTACAGGAATCAGCTACTGTATGGTTTGGAGCATGTTTGTATGGTGATAACTTTGATTTTGACCACTATGTTCCTGTCACTCCTATTGTATGGGTTTATATTAATTTGGAGCTAATAAAACCAGCAGAACTTTATTTGCCTCATCATATTGATGTTACCAACCAAGCTTCGAAAAGCAACTTAGTTCTTCTAAATGCTGATGATGAAACATTTTATAGGAAAGGCAGTTTTATGTTTACTTCAAATGATGATTCTAAAATGGAAGTAGAAGGAGCATTGTGCAAAATTTATTGTAATCACTTTTGCTCTCG